TGTATGTATGTATGTATGTATGTATGTATGTATGTATGTATGTATGTATGTATGTATGTATGTATGTATATATGAGAAAAAAAAGAGCCCGACCATAGTTCTCACGATAAATGGCGTGGAACTCTTCAGATGTTTTGGCTTAATCCTATCGGGGCCCGGCGCCGTATAATTCTTCATCAACGTAATGGCATTTCGAATTTCGGTAGGAAAAACCGAAAGAGGAATGTATTCGTCCTGCCTAAGGGTAGGCGTGGCCTTCGAAGAGATCTGAGTAGAAGTCGTGGATTACCTTCTCCATTGCCCTTCGAGATGCAGTAACTGTTCCGTCAGGACGACAAAGGGAAGTCAACATCTCCTATATATGTATGTAAACCGCTAACTTTGTGTGTCCGTTTGTATGCCCGTTTGTGTGTCTTCCCAAAAGTCACGTAGGCACGATAAAGAGCGTGAAGAGAGATCACAGATCAAAGGCAAACCAATTTTTTTAGAGAAGTGAGAATGTAGGTTAGGAAACGTTTAACATTGGCGTCTGTTGGTATCAGGCACCATCGAACCTCTGCTGACTGTTTTCCATTACATCTCTGATGCGCAATCTCTCTATATATTAGATAATATTTGGGGCATTAATCGATCCCGTCAGAAGGTTGCGCCCATGCATTCATCTTCCATTCAGAATCGTAGTGGAGTATTGAATGCGTATGTGGCCTATGCAATGACTTGCGGTGACCGGCCGATGTACAAGTCAATGCTTTTCTGCACTCTCGCCCTGATGCCCAATTTCCTGCAATCAAACTAAAACGACATTTTTAATGTAAAATAATGTAATGACAGCTAGGCCCTTGAAAGGATATTTTGCACTTAAGTGCTTAACTCCAATGCGTGATTCCCAGAAATGAAACTTAAAGAGGGATTTTGGGTGTAGCAGTGTCGTTTATACGGAACATGAAAATGTTTTACTGCTCTTCTTGAGTAAGATCGTAGATGAGCGGTTGTGGACATGTTGTGCACGCATGAGCGTGCGTAGCTCACTGGTAGTCTTATAATTGCCGAAGCTGCATCAGGCTTTGCGAATGCTCTTTCCGGCTTCGACGGCTTCGTCCATAACTGTTGCTCTTCTCTTTTCAGATCTTCCTTTATTGCTTCTCTGTATAGCTTCGCAAGTTCGGACTTTTGTTGATGATTGCCTGTAGCTCGCGCGATTCCACGCTGGCGTATCAGCTCGAGTGTCTTCGAAGAGAGTCGTCTCTTCGCTACATGTAGACTTTCTGCTTTGCTAGCACTATCGTTGAGATGTTTGACGAGCCGGTTGTATTCTTCATGGATGTTGTCGACAACGGAATCTTCTCTCGCAAGGAAAGCGAAGTGGTCCCAGTTGATGAAGGTCTTGCGGCTTCGCTTCCTGAATTTCACAGCTCTCTCTCCACAATTTGAGAAGCAGAATCTAGCGCGTGGAGACGATGGTCCCATCCCGTGTGGAACTTTGGAACAATAGCGACGTCAGTCAGTCAGAATCTCCAATTGACGATGATGTGGTCTCTTTCATTATGGAACTGCCCACCAGGTGACTCCCATGCCCATCGCAAGTGAAAGGGCTTCCAGAACTGTGAGTTAGCATGGGTGGTGTGGGCCGACATGATAGTCTCGTCCAGCATTTCACCCTGCTCATTCCATTCCATTTCTTGAGTCCCGATGTGGAGCTTCTTTTTTCTGGGGCCAATCCTGGCGTTGAAATCACTGTCGATGACCTTGAAGAAATGTGGTCCCCACTGTAGAGCCTCTCCAAATCCATATAAAACGCCTCCAATTCCTCATCTTTGTAGCTCGATGTTCGTGTTAGGCAACGAAGGTAGTTAGAGCTGGGGTTGAGCCACATCTCAATCACAAACGTCCGATTCGGATTGTTAGGCCTTCGTACGGAACGATATTCATGGCAACTGCAAATTGACGAGGACACCTACGCCGTCGATCAGTCTCGAATACAGCGTGCAGCGGGCGATGCCTCCTCGTCCCGGTCAGTCCGATGACGTCGTAACATTTCTATTACTGTTTTTGGCGAGTGGACACCCAACGTGTATCGTGCCAGGCTCTGAAGAGGGGGTTTGCCGGTCCCTAAGTTTGGACGAGGGGCTTTGGCTCCGAATCGTTTCACAGATACTTCCCAGTCACTCAATCTTTTGGCTGAATCGATGAGTAGAGTACCAACTGCACCCACAGACTCTCCACACACGTATGCGTGGATACGCCTGCAAGAAGCAGAAGGTATATCGTCCAGCACAGCTGAATCAGGGAGCCCATCTCCTGAAACCACCTGCGTATCTGGGCAGGTACTGGCGACTTTCGGCGATTAACTCCCCAATCCGCCACTTGGGGACGCCTTATGTAGCCTCGTACTAACCGGCTGGGGATCCTGTGAGCGGGAACCCTCAGTGAAGGAGATCCGTAGACATACACATAGAAATACAGTAGCGCTCAAAAGTATTCGGTCAAATGCTTCTTCACTCGTACTCTTCAATCATAACTCCTTTCCTACTGGATCTAATCAAGCGAAATTCCAATATGTGTAGCATGGGTATGGTGTGAGTATTTACCATTATTAACCTGGACTCTGATCACGTCCCAAATATCCCAAAGAGCTTGAAATCAGAAGCAACCGGAGATAGGGACATTGGTGCTTCTAGACTTTCTTCCCTTTTAGCCATGGCCGAAAGCGCTAGTGCCGAACACAATAGAGGTGAAAAACGCAAGTAAGGCCGAATAACTGCAGACGTCACAAACTTGCTTTCAGTATAGTCTACGAACGCCCTCCCCTTAGTTACGTGGGAATAGCTGCTTTGCAGTCAAACAGTGATAGTGTGAAACATGCTTCAGTTAAACATATCAAAATTTTATGCGATTTGCTGCACTGGGAAAAAAGTTACGGCAAGTTAAGGTTGACCGAATACTTCTGTACACACCTGCATACATACAGTACTGTTCCAGAAAGAAAACATCATTCACATTTTTGTCATAACTGATCTCGAACTCAATGTTTTTGACTGATGTTTTGACAGCGGTTCTTTGAAATATTATCGACTCTCCTGGGATGGCAAGTAGACGGTAGTTTATTTCCCGAAGAATGGGCAACTTTTTTTGACAAAATTTGCTATAGCGGCTTGTTTTTCAGTTTCATTTTTTTGAGCTCTTGAGCCAAAATTTTCGATGATTCTTTTTCCTCTCAGTAGTGTGACAAACCTCAGGCTCTTGGCGACCAGAGAGCAGCTTTCCGCCATTCCACGGGTAGTGTGCAGAGATTGACCCATGCTCAACATTCAAGCAGTCTGCTATGTCCGAGTCTACGATTACGAGGGCTATCGGAAGTACAGAGTCCCGCTCAGGTATACTCAATCCACCAGCTCGGAAAGCTCTCGGATTGCCGCTCTTGAGGAAGATAGGAGATCATTCGTTCGTCGAGCCAAAATCCAGGCGATG